TGAAATAGAAATCTTTTGTAACATTATAAATGTCTTTATCATCACTTTTGATACATTTAAAGCACCCTTGCTAAATAAAAAGATTCAATTCTGTCATTTCTTTCCACCCCTCCACTCCTTAGTTTCTTTTTTGTTTTGTAATTTTTATAAATTTTTGTTCTTTACAAAGTATGTCTATATAGTTTGTATACATTTTTATTAGTTTTAGTTTAAAAAAAAACTATACTGTCTCTAAGCTTTTGAATGGTAGCGTATAATGTTACAAAACATTTCAGATAAATGCTGATCTTTGCATCTCATCAAAGAATCATGAAAAAATTTACTCAGATTTTTTAAATATTGCTAATAATATTAATAATAATAATAAATGTTTCTTGAGCAGCAAATCAGCATATTAGAATGATTTCTGAAGATCATGTGACACTGAAGACAGGAGTAATGATGCTGAAAATACAGCTGCGCATCACAGAAATACATTACAGTTTAACAGATATTCACATAGAAAACAGTTATTTTAAATAGTAAAAATATTTCACAATTTTACTGTTTTTGCTGTACTTTGGATCAAATAAATGCAGGCTTGGTGAGCAGAAGAGACTTCCTTAAAACTTTAAAACTTACTGTTCAAAAACTTTTGACTGATAGTGTAGATGACGGTGACGTCTGTAGGAGTGGCCTTTTTTACTCTCGTCCCGCGTAATAACAAGGACTGGGTTTGGGAAAGCGAAAGGGCTACTTCTACCGTACAGGTCAAAGGTGTGCCGTCATGTCGTTCCGTTCCCTAAACCGTCTCTCTGAAGGGACTGCAGCTACTTTAGTGGTGTATCAAGCGTAGTGTGTAAAAAAATAATACCTGCCTGCGCGGTGTTGTTATTCTTTTGTTTTTCTCATTAATACTCATGCTGTGCGAAATCATCAGGGTGCTAGCAATACACCCCTCAGCTGGACTCACAGGTGCAAGAGAGCATCTCTTTTTTTTTACTGCTGCATCCGGTGGAGTGAAGAGACTGAAGCGTTTGCAGCATGAGGTTCTGGGAAGGGTTGTGTTTGTGAAACAGGGTGGGAAGGTCTGGATCTCAGGTATCTCTTCCTCTCTCTCTAAGGACAGTGGTGTTTTTGGTGTGTGATGCATTATGTTTGTCTGTCGTCTTTTCTCTCGACTGTTTGGCCCCAGAGCGCTTCTAGAAGCACATTCCACGGCGGAGCAGAGGTTTGCATCAAAGCATGGACAAAGCTTCAGATTACCTGCTGTGTGAGCGATGGACCTCTGCTCCTGTGTGTGTGAGTGTGTGTGTGTGGCTGCATTGCAGTTTGACTCCTGTTGGCCAGCTATTTCAACTAAATGTAGTCATGATATGTATATAGTTCACAGAAAAAGAGCGATATCTACACTATATGTACGTATATGAATAAAGTATTTATATTTGATCACATCGTATTTCAGACTATAAATAAATACAGTAATTTGTTATTAGGAAAATGATACAGACAGAATAATTTGTTGTTAATAGAATAGGGGGGATATGATATAATAAAAATCATATTAAATTATTTTATTATATTTACATAATATACAAATATATTTTTACTTAAAATACAAAAAATATAAATGTAACATACATATATATATATATATATATATATATATGAGAATATATTTAAGTAGTGATTGCATTAGTTGCTTCAATTCTCCTCATCGTTAGTTTCAATGTGTAGTTGATTTGCACTATAGCCTATTTTACACATCTAATGTTAAATATTTTTTCCTGCACAAAAATATTTTTAAAAAAGCATAAAAAGTTAGATAAACTGCATTAAAAGTATAAGATTTATGGAAAGTGGGTAATAAGAGCAGGCTTTTATTATGGTGCCTGATGGGATTCGGGAGAAGCGTTTTAGTGTACACTAGTGAGTGAAGTGGCTTCTTTAGGGAGCTGTACTGTACTGTACTGAAATATAATAGATGCACCAAAAACAAATCAGACTGTTCGTTCTTAACATGTGGAATGCTGCTGTTTGGTAGTTTTGAACATTTAAAACAAAATCCAAAAAAAGGGTATAAATCAAAACAAGTATAGATTTTAGACGGGGGAGGGTGGTGTGTACTGTACATATAGATGTAGCTATACATGTTTGCTTGTTTGTGACGTCACTGTCCACAGACAGAGAGAAAGGGCTCTTCTTCTTCTTCTTCTTCTTCTTCTTCTTCTTCTTCTTCTTCTTCTTCTTCTTCTTCTTCTTCTTCTTCTTCTTCTTCTTCTTCTTCTTCTTCTTCTTCTTCTTCTTCTTCTTCTTCTTCTTCTTCTTCTTCTTCTTCTTCTTCTTCTTCTTCTTCTTCTTCTTCTTCTTCTTCTTCTTCTTCTTCTTCTTCTTCTTCTTCTTCTTCTTCTTGGGAGGGCAGGGGGTTTGGGGCTGTATGCCTTTAGTATTGATATGCTCTTTTCGGTCTTGTTTTTATTTGTTACAAGTGTTTAAACAAAAAGTGAACTTCCTTCTCAAGATTGTGTCTTGTTAACGTTCAATGTCTTGAAGTTTCTCACAACTCACTCCCAGCGAAGTAGCCTCTGCTTTCTGTGCAGTTCCACCTTTTTTTCTGTCCGCTATAACACAAACCCTTGCTTTGTCACCACGGGTGTGATGTGCTACTTCTGATTTGTATATATATGGGTTATGTACCGTACATACAGTACAAAACGGCTCAAGCCTTAAGACATACAAATGTATGGAAATGATAGATGCTATAATCAGAGAACGGTGGTCTGCTGAACAGTCATTCCCACTGATTGTCTCAGGTGTTTCAATCACACCTTTCCAAACACACACACACACACACACACACACACACACACACACTCACACTCACACTCACAC